GTGCAACTGAAACATAATTAAAGTAGTTTCATATCATTAAGTGTGCATTTGGGTTTTGTTGGTGCATTTATACCAACATTTAGCTTGCACCCCTCCTCGTCGAAGCACAGTGATTTGTATCCACTGGGAGATTCTCTCACAGAGAGTGGCTGATGGTTGATGTGCCATCCAGCCTGTCATCACAGCAGTCACCAGCCTATTGTATATTAACAGTAGCACAATGCATGTTTCTAGAGAACAGTGATTGGTTGAGGCAGCCTTTCCAGATGAATGCTGACAAATATTTAACCTGCCTTTAAATCACATGTGACAGTTGACTGGCACTTTCTGTCCGAGACAATGCTGTCACTAAGTTGCAGCCTCATGGGGAGGAGCCAGACCATTGAATATCACATTGTTATAACCAGTATTTTCCCCTCTTACTGTTAACTTTTACTTTGACTCCTGTGGATTAAATGTGAACACTCGGTGGAAAGACATCTGCCCCTCATCTTGTTGACTCTTGCATATTATTTAAGATTAAATACTCTGTAGTAAAGAAGAACATGTCCATGTGCCACTTGTGATGTCATTACAAGACCACGTGAAATATTTTTGTAGTTTTCTCCCTTGTGTGACATCATTTCTTATTGAAGCAGGAAGTTAGGATGGAATTTATATGCATTTATCATCCATTTATCCATCCATCCATGCATAAGCCTTTAATCTTGAATCTCATAGAGAGATAAAATTTTGAGTATCAATCAGTCTTCTAAATTAGTGATCTAGCAAAATAGCAATCTTTTGAGCCATTATGTTAAAAGGAATCTTTGTGTATTTCACAGTTTGTTCTGTTTTTTCCACATTTATTATACAGTCAAAACCATCAGTATGAGCCAAGTTAAGCCAAGGCAATTAGTTCCAATGAAACATTCATTAACAAAGTCAACAACTGATTTTTACAATGTGCTAGGTATGCATCAATAGCTATGTTTACATGCAACCAAATAATCCATTTGTAATCAGATTGATGGCTCAGTAGGACTGAAAAGCCTTCATGTAAATGCATCATTCGATCCAATTGTGCTCATCCGAATGACATTTCGATTGGATTGGAAGGAGTGGTGTAGACATGGAATAATCTCATAGGTATAAGAGAAATTCTACAAATTTAACCATCTAACCAACCTGAATTTGTGCGTCTACCAAAGTTACTAAACTTTCACTTTGACATTGCTATTTTAGTTTTACTGGCGTTCACGCATCAAGACAATTCCTGACCCAAGGCGAAAAGTTTTGTTTTGAGGTGTCTGATAGATCATTTTATTTAATATCTATTTGCACAATCCAATACACCGAATTTTCCTAGGAGGAATTATTTAATCTTGTCTTAAATTGAAAACAGTCAAGAGTAGACTTGTTGGCATGGAAACCAAGTCACAGGGTTTAATTACGCTTGGCTAGTTAGGCTTTTAACACAACAACGACTGGAACAGGGACCTTTCAGCATTCTCTAGGGCAATTGCTTTATACATTTCAATTAGCATGCTAATATAACCATATTGAATAGCATTGTAGTGTAACTGCATATAATGAGTCTCAGAGAAAACAATAACCACAACAACAACAAAAAAAACAGGCACACTTGTGAAAAAAACATGAGAGCATTGCATGAAAGCTAGCAGCTGTTCCACTGCTGATAAAACAGGTAGGTCTTTAGTTGTGGACTGTTTTCATTTAGCATTGTGGGTGACAGGGTAAAAACGCGCCCCACGGCATTGCAATACTGAGACCTAACATGGTAGAAAACAAGTGGGTGGTCATAGTTTTAAGAGGAATTTGAAAAGAGTGACAGTTGTTCCACCTCAGGGGGAAAAAACACATCTTTGGTGTATATATAGATATGTCTATCTTTGTCTGTATTCTGCTTCTAACCTTAATCCAGAAATAAAAGTGCCATCACAGATATCTTCTGACGTCTGTTCAATTTATCTTATTTTTCTGAGCAGCTGAGAAGCTTATTGATAATTGGAAGATGCTTTTACTCACTTGAGTCTAACTGTGAATTAGAAAAGGCTACAAATTTGCATGTGAATAATTAGATTTTTTTCCCCACCAAGCATGTAAACTTATTTTATTACTGATTTTCTATGGCCTTTTAAGTGTTAGTTTAAAGTACTTTATATATTTAATATTGTGTTTTTGCATGAAATTGGTGACATGGGAAGTGTGGGTTATTGTGGGATATTGCTCGTTATTTTGTTTTTTACTATCACTACATACAAATATGTCTGCTACCATATAGACCGTATGTATCTCCGCCGCTCAACCCTGCACTTACTTGTCTTCTGTCTTGTGGTTTGTATTTCCACAGCGTGAAGGTAAGGTAGTATGAATTTTTTTCAAGTATGAAATCTTGCTGCTCTTCTTACATTTATTATCTACTTCGAACATTAGCCTACAATGCACATGATAACATTCGTTAACTCTACAATAAGTAAACCCACTTCACCAGTTAATTACTCTTAAGCAGTGATGCTATAGAAATAAACAGAGCTACTGCGAAAACAGAAGTTCAAAGACAACATTCTAAAGATGGCTGCACACTTGTTTCTCTGACAATAGGTGCGTCCCAAATCGCACTATGCAGTATTCTATAGCTGCGTCCCAAAGCTCTAAAATGCTTCCTTTCGGGGGCAGCATTCCAAGGCAGGAAGGTGGCACGTCCGAATCCAAATTCTGCTTTACTTCCTGTCTCCGGCGGTACCTTCTTCTGATCGAATTTCGAGGCAGCATACATAAGGATACATACTGTAGATGTATCCTTCGGCTGCCTTTGATATCCCACAATCCTGTGCGTTCCATTCCGTGACGGTTGAGCTAAAAAATAAAGATGGCATCTGAAAGTTGCGTTTGGTGGTCAGTTTGTGTGTAAATGTATATTTCTGACGAACGTTTTGCACTTTTGATGTTATTTCTAGCGAGAAATTAGTATTATAGTAATTAAATATTCGTTTAGTTATCATCAAAACTCGTTCTATTTTGTTGTAGATCATTAAACCGTTATGCTGCCTCAAAAGCCTGTCCGAAATCAGTTTCATGACTGATCACAAAGTCATTGCCTCATAAGGCAGCGAGGCAGCGAGGCAGCAAGTCAGCTGCCTAGGCTTTCAGACGCAGCCTATAACATTTTGTAGTGTAAATAGTGCGAGTAGTGTGTTCACACTGAAAATTCCAAAACGAAAAAGTGCACTTTAAATACCCGGATGAAGCACATAATAACCGAAAAAATGAAGTGTGGAATGTTGACTTCATGCACTCAACTGTCGCAGCTTAAATTACGTCGCGAAGGGGAAGGGGCTAGACTCCGATTATTAATGACAAACTAACCTTAAAATTCATACACTACATGGTTGAGTACATAGTGCATAAGTACATAGTGTATGAGTGCATAGTGTATAGTGCGTCATTTGAGATGCAGTATGTCTGACAAGGTCTGTAGAATATATTCCAAAAGAGTAGCTAGTATGTCCACAGTATTCAAAAAACAGCAGTTGAAAAGTACCCGTGTGACTTACTATTTCCGCCAAGACTGTGGGCATTCAATGGACACTTGGATGTAGACATTTAAATTTTAGTCATATATAGCCTACAGCAAACTTTTAACTACTGTGAAGTAGCCCAAGTTTCAAACCAAATGTAGTACCTTCTCTAGACAGTAGGCTATGCGATTTCGCACGCAGTATAGGTGTATTTACTCAATTGCACGACTGGTGATGTCAGTGTAGCAGCAGCCATGACGGAGCAACCCGCTTTTTGAGAAATATCATAAAGTGTCGGTCAAGTATAAACTTTTTAAATTAGCAGAACATTACTAAATACACCTTTAACATAAAATTAGACTAAAATGAGCATAAAACCTCTCTTTCATTCATGCAAATACGCAGACAAACGCAAATGGAAATCTTAAGATGAGTAAGAAACGCGCACTATTTTAAGTGCGGCTTTTAAGCAATAACGGTGTGGGGTAAAACCTCCCGATGTGATTCTCCAAAACGCGCTGCTTGCGAAGGGTAAAACCTGGTAGGTTGCCTCTTTAAATCAGAGCTGCAGCAGTGATGCGCCCGCGAGCTCAGACGGTTACAACCATTTCCACCAGTCTGCAGTGGGTAACTTCAACCGCGCGCGCTCAACAGCGCCTCTCACGCGAGACATGACATTCAGCTTTCACACACGTTCTCTTCTACAGAGATCCCACGCTAAAGTGAAAACTTGTCAGACGCCTTATTAGGGGGAAGAAGAATTTTTCCAAAAATCCAACCCACGATATTTCTGAGAATCTGTTTTACTTTTCTGCCCCCCTCATATGGCATTGTCTTTATAGGAGCCATCCATCATCAGATTCTGGTTCCTTAACGGTTCAATTAGGCAAACTAATTATTTTAGTACTTTTGAGGAATAAATATTAGGGGGAAAAAGAAATGGATTGAAACTGGCTATCAATATGTTGCCAATGATATCAACAGAAACATGGGCTATCAAAATTAGCGTAGGCTACATTTCATAAAATTAATGCAAAAGGTCAGTTTACAATTATTCATTAATTTTCACATACTTTTGGGGGGTAACAAATAAATACTAAATGTGATAACATTTGATTTATTTATTTGTTTTTACAAATTTAATAATATGAACAAGATGCCAGTAGCCTATCACAAGCCTTAAATCCAATAACACTAACAGTTTATTTCGAGTCGGACATCACGAAAGTAATAACTTGGTGGTCAGAAAGTGAGTCATATAAATTCAGTAACAGCTCAATTGTTCAAAAGTGTTTTGATTCACAATAAAGGACCGACTCATGAGAGTCATTTGCTCGAGAATCGGACAAAGCTTCTTGTTCTGTATGTTTTTGATTCACTAAAATAATCGGCTCATAAGATTCATTCGTTAAACACTGGTCACGCTGTGTGTCTCACGCTGTAAGATTCATTGGCGGTATTGCGGTGCATGGTAGTACGGGAAACACAGTCAGAGTATTTCACCACGGTGTTCCGTTTGCATCGGCGGAACAATGAAGATTCGAGAGCCGTTAACGGAACCGAACGTCATGTAAATCATTTGGTTACGCTATTTTCTTTGAAAAATGGAACCGGTTCCTCGGTCCTCGGTTCAAATCCCAAGAGCTGATATTTGTCTTCCTTAGAGATGGAGTAGCCTATAGCCTATTACATGCGCTCACGCTCGTCAAGTCTATCAGATAATGGGACGTAAAGATGGGGTACGACACCAGTTGCTCTCTTAAAAATAGGTAAGGATATATTAAGTAAATGTTACGTTCAGATAGTAGCCTATATCTAATTCTGATACGGTAAGTGATATTCACGAAATAGGGTAGCTCATGAATTCATGCTCCTGCGTTCTTTTAAAAACATTTTCTGATGAAGTCTTGATTGTGCCATTTTGGTATAAGGTAAGGGGTGTTGGCCTTGTTTGCTCGTCATAGGATTACGATTTTGGAGACACGAGGGTGTTAAACCGTTCTTAGGGCTCTCAAATGACAGTAAGACTGTTTTAAACCCATATTTACACTGCCTACGTTGTGAAGAGGTCGCAATATTGTTTTTCTCGAATGCCTGTGCTTTAACATTTCACGAGTGATATTTCTAAAGACTTACGTCACGGCAAATGCGCACGTGCCCGACGGAAATCGCCGCAAATGACTGAAGTCCATAAATTCTGAGCTGACTTTTAACGAGGAAAGGGTTCATGGTGATGTTCGCTTTGTTTTTTTGCTTTTTCTCTCGGATGTTCTGCAGCCTCTCCTGCTGGAGAATGACCCCCCCTCAGCGCCTGTCGGAATGCCGTTTCTCTCCGCGTGCACAAGGGCCAAGCGCCAGATGGCCACATCATAACCGACTGTGATACTTGATACTATTGCGCTAAAGCTGGACCCTAACTTTGCGGATCTGATGGTGAGTGATTTAAAGTACCTCATTTATATTTTTAATTACAATTTAGGACAGTTAATGTTACAAGATAAAACTTTGGTCTCTCTTCCTATGTAATCCACACACAAAAACTTTCGGTGACGATATAAATCAGCTGCTTTTCTGTGTAGTACCAATGCCAGTCAATTGAGAGTTTCTCCCAAACAAACGGGCGTTTACGGTGGGCATTCGCATTGATCTCCGATGTGATATACGAAATTAAAGCGATGCCTCACAATGGCATCGCACCATAGATTATCATTGCATTTTCTCAGCGGCAGAGAAAGAGGGTCCATTTGTTGCAGTGCCAGACGCTTGCTCAATATCGCTGCACTGTTAAATTAACTGTATTCAATTACGTATAGTCGATGCACTCACTGTCTTTGAATCTCTGAAAACGGTAGAGGTTGTGTAGAAGGGATTTAGTCAGAGGGTAACCGCACTGGTGGCTCTGGAAGCTGGAGAGCGCGTGCAATGAATATCAATTGTCATTGTCAGCTAATCATCACAAGGGGCTGTGGCGTGTCCGTGGCCTTGGTTATCCCTGAGGCAAAGGCGATTTTACTTTGTTTTCCGATTACACTGTTTTTATGACAGCACCAAAGTATACTCGCGGCTGTATGACGTGGATAGAGATTTTAATTGTGTGCGTTATGACGTCTACATTGGCTGTATGACGTCGGCTGTCGCCGCTTCCTCTTTTCAGATATCCAGCCAATCAGGTCACTGGTATCAGCCAACCAGGAAAAAAAGCTTTTTTCCCCTTTCCACCGTACAGAAAAGACACGTAATATCACAGCAGCACCATGGAGAGTGCCTTTAGCGCTTTATCTGTTTTAAGCACCAAGGACAGAGACCCGAACCAACAAGGCCTACAGTCAGTGACAGTGTTAGGAATTGCCTTGATCTAATAATTTAAGAACATAGATCTTAGCAAGGGCGTAGTTTTGCTTTGAAAACAGGGACATATTGCAAGGAGACAGAGGAAAAGATTAAGTAAGATTAAGTTTACAAATCTTTGTAAACAAACAAGCTATTAAAACAGTGAATCACAGGACCTTGATCAGTGTTGATGCTGAGAAATGCCATTGCGTGGATGTACCTCTGGTGATATAGAGAAAATAACATTTATTCCTTCTTATCACAAGACTCATTGTATACTGTATACTTTTTTCAGCACCTCAATAACATATATGACAGCTGCATTCTGAGTTTTTTTTTTTTTTGAACCACACTTTTAAGTTCACTACATTAAGTATTATTCTTCTCTCTGGTCAGTGGGAAAGCTGATCATAGGGTGGTCATGTTGGGCACACAATGTACTGATCAACGGATGTTATTTAATTAATTAATGTATTTTTTAAAGAGGACCTATTTGCTTTTTATGTTATGTGAAACATACATGTAAACAAAGCACAAAGTCTGTGCCAAAGGGAGTTAATTTTTCAATAGAAAACACATCTTAAATGCCTCATTTGTAGTTCTCACATTATTTCCGTAACATAGCTACATCATTATGTCCATCTACTGACTACTTTATACTTTGTACTCGCTGATTATGGTTTTCCAATAGACCAGTCACAACAGACTGGGGCCGGTTGTCCAATCTGAGCAGACTGGGCTTTTTGGAAGGCGAGCTTTAAAGAAAACAAAACTAAAACAGACTGTTCAGAAAGTGGATGAAAACAGGTATTGCAGCAATGTAAATTAAAAAAGAAAGAAGTTTTTTGAACATTTAATCATGTAAACCAATTCTAGTAGCCCCCCTGATCAAAATTATGAACCTAAATAAGCATAACAGGGTCCCTTTAATAAAAAATAAAAAAAAGTTCATTCAAGCTAGATTTGAAACTTTTGGTACTTAAGGCAAGACATATTTAGCTTAACCAGCTCATGAACAGATGTGGCTTTAGGGGAGTTAAAAAGTTTCTACAGCGACGCCAATGAGACTTCAAATATGTATTGAAACCATCAGTAGTTTGGGACCAAATATTGGTCGGGACACTTCCGATTTGGTTGCTGGGGACATTTTCCTACCACCTCTACCATCTAAAGATATATCTATAGATCTCAAAAGGCTTTTAAATGTAGTCAGCAACAAGTTGTTTCTTCTATATATTCGAGGTCTTCTTTGTGTCTATGTAGTGCAGTGAAGATCATAGCTCCCTACCACCAACATTGCAGAGAAAAACTGAATTGCATACTGAAGTCAGTTTAATTATAGATCATATGGTAATTCATTTTAGTTGTTTATACGGAAGTGAAATCTTGAATATTAAACAGTATTTGACTTGTAGAAAGAATACAAAGATGGTTGTTATATAATGAGCGTTTTACTGCTTTTTGTTTTGTGCTGTGTGTAAGAGTGTAAAAAGAGAGCATGTGTGCATACAAGCCTGTAGGCCTTCTGGATGCACATGCACGTGACTTTTATATATTGCATAAGGTATGTTTGCAACATTTGTGTGTATGTATGCGAGTGTGCATAGTTGCTATATGTTTATGAAGATACGCCTGCAACAAACCCAAGCAGTCATATTCTGTTGGAGAGATGAGTCTGTGCACTGGAGCAGACTGACTGACCAAGTTTTGTCTCCAAGATAAGCATGCTCACTGAGGCACACAGAAGGAGAAGCCAAGAACACTCTTAATGCTCAAGATGCATCAAAGACCTAAATATGGAGGTCACACCAATTTTTATAACATAATATTAATTAGGTTTTATGAGATTGAACGGTTTTAGCTTTGTAGAACACTTTAAAGGCACTGTATTGATCAATCAATGGCTGCGTTTACACTTGGCATTAACATGCGATCACCGCGATCCGATCAAGCAGATCGGATCGTCAGTCAATCAGAACACAGTGCGTTTACAATTGGCAGCATCAGCTGACTTCTCTATCTGGATAACCAATCAGATCTGTCTTTCCCGCACAATATTTAAATAAGTCTGCAGAGAATTGGCCCAGTGCAAAGTTGACCTGAAGTGGTGGGTTTTCTTTTGAAAAACATTTTCAGTCGCGGGACATTTTACAAATCAAAGATAAGTGTAGGAGTCTCACTAGCTCTCCACACGAGTGTTCTCCGTCTTTCTTCTGACAGTTTGGGAGAGAGGGGCGGGGTTTTGCGTGATGTCGACCTGCGAATGCAGACACGATGGCTGGATTGCGTTTACATTACACTGAGATCCTATCACAATGCGTCCTCGACTACCTCTGGAGCAGGACACGCTGATCGGATAACGTTCCGATCAGAAGCGCGTTTACACTTGTCTTTTCAATGTGTATGTGGACAACATCCGGATACAGGTCGCATGTTAATGCCAAGTGTAAACGCAGCCAATTTCAATGCCTCATTAAATGTCACTTTCCTCATACGACTGCGAGAAAAGTGTCAATCACATTGGCTCATGAATGTACGATGTACCCTAATCAATTTAAGGGCCATAGTCCTATGCTATTTCGCTAATCGTATTGAATCCAAGCACAGCCTGTCTGAGTGAGAAAGCATGGTGTCTTAGTGACAGCAGCCAGTCCTTTCCTATTGTTTCACTGCCTCCATTTGCTTCAGAATTGGATCTGTCAGTTTTTATATGATCACCATCTTAAAACTCCCTACAATTTGTCTCTCAGTGGCACACATTTTAAAAATTATTTTAGAAGTCATGTTTTATCAGTTCTTTGCATTTGTGTAGTATATTTAGCTTTCTTTTTGCAAGTCTGTGATATTGTGATTGCATTTACACTTCTGGCATGGAATGTTACTACTTGAAGAAAGAATGATAGCAGGTCCTACTGAGCCAGCGATGATCCTCTTCCTCTCTGCATGCTCGTTGGATGAGACCTGAAATGGCATCTCTTTAGAGCTGACTTTTTATTCACTGACCTTTTTTCTACTTGCTTGCTGATTGGCTAAGACCTGAGGTTAGCAGGTCCATTCATGTGATTCAATTAAATGAATCAGTAAATATATGGATGGTCCAATGCTTATGTCCTGAATATGATTAGGTAGGTGTTAGGCAGATAGATCGATTGATTGATACATATATTGATTGGATAAGACCAAGCTGAAAATGTGAAGTGAGTTTAGCAGCCCCTGTCATGTTATTCAATTAAATTATGTTATACATACCTGTAGATAGATACGTATACTGTACACTACAGTTCAAACATGTTTTAATAAATTAATACTTTCATTCAGCTAGGATGCATTAAATTTATTCATCTTTCCATGCATCAAAGAATTCTGGAAAAATAAATAAGCAATGTAACTGTTTTTAACACTGATAATAATAAGAATTGTTGCTTGAGCACTAAATCAGCAGGATGAATGATTTCTGAAGAATCAGTTGGTACTGAAGACTGGTACTGGTTGGTACTGAGTAATGACATTTACATTTTTAAAACAAAAAACAGGTGTGTTAAATTGTTATAATATTTCACAATATTCCTGTGTTTTACTGTGTTTTGATCAAATAAATGCAATTCTTATGCTTGTAAGCATAAGAAGCTTCAAAAAATCTTACTGACCCCAAACTTTTGAATGATAATATATATAGTTTGGAAACTTTTGTCTGGGGAAAAAAACACAGTTTACTGTCAGTGAAAGGGGTGGTTGGTCACAGAGCTTGAAGAGCTGGCACAATCTCATCAAACTGCTATGGATGGGTGGATGAGCAATAGAGTGCATGTACATCTGGAGTAAAAGTTTTCCCAACTCTAATGGAAGATTGTATTTTGGCCTGATATTTTGGGATTTCTTACAAGTGAATCATTGGTTTACCTACAAGAGCTTTGGCGGGCTCTGCTGATATCAAATTAAAATCCTAAAAGAGTGACAAACACTGCTTTTACATAGGCCTATATACACTAAAGAGTGAATTTCAGATAACTGCTGTAGTGAGGCGACACTGATTAGATCTTTATTTAGTACAAATTCTGACTATAGTATACCCCAAAGCCTTTTTTATGGGCACACTGTTTGAAATGACTTCCTCTGCTTTGGAGCACTAAAGGAGTTGATATTAATCAGCATTAACTTTCAGTGCAACAGTGGTTCGATGTCTTAGGGCATTAAAGGTACGGTATCTTTGCTGAAGAACTAAGGTCAAAGGATCAATAATGTGACGCTGAGTGATGCTTTATGGGAAACTGATTAATGGGCAGCAATTGTGCTGATCTCACCTTGGATTGAAGCAGACACGCACTCTGGGAGACAGGGCATAATGGGCCCAAGTGCAAAAAACACTGCGAGGCTAAATCATAATATAACCAGGATTTTAGGGTTATGTTTACTTTTCGTTGTATGATAATTTCAACATGTATGTTGCTTTTTCGTTTATATGTAAGCTGTCGTTTAATTTTCAAATGGACAATCTTGTGCATAATAGCATTGTGCTGACTTTTTTTAAGCCTCGCTGCACTCCCAGATATTAAAAAGAAGTGTTAAATAAGGTCTGCACATTTGTCACACATTTAAAGATGGAGACTAAGGGAAATTGGCTGTTGTAATGAGCGTAGCGCGTATTCAGTCTGTTGGAGTGTAAAGACATGCATGTACATCTGTGGTGCTGCTTTCCAGAGGGGATGGAGCCCTTCAGGCACACAACAAAGGGGCTCTTCGGGCTGGGTGATAAAATAGACATGCTGAAAGAGATTGATGCGTAGTCTTTGGCTCACAGGGACAGTGCTTGCTTCCTTGTATTGTTTCTCTTTCTTCCCATTTCCTCCTCCAACTTGCCCCTTTTTCTTTTATTTAGACAGATAAAACTGTCTTAATGGTCAGTTTCTTAAATCCAACAGCTTTATTCATGTTGTGCATCCGTACTGCCACACATAATTTACCAATAAGAGACTGCAAATGTTAGAAGCTGAGATAGACACTAGCAGTATATGCATTAATAAAATCATAAAGAAGGAAATTAGCAGACTGATGCTATTAGGCAAATGCATGCAATATAAAGACGGGTGTGTTTTTATCATTTGACATGTTCTTTTATTTCTCATGTTTTTATTCTGATTTTATTGACAGGATTTAAAGAGGGTGCTGTCCTTTCCTCCATATCCAGGGGATTATTTGCACCCAGTGGTGTATGCCTGCACTGCAGTGATGCTGCTCTGCCTGCTGATTTCTATCATGACATACATTGTACACCACAGGTATGTTTTATTGCAATTAAGCTGCACCAGTGGCATAAATTATTAAATACAGTATAGATCTGAAAAATAAGCTGTGTTGTTAGTGATTAGTTTATTAGAGTTAGGGATGCACTGATATTGAAATTCTGGCCGATGTTATATCATATTATAGCACTATTCAAAGGTTTGGGGTCAGTAAGACTTTTTTTGAAAGAAGTCGTTAGTCGTTTATGCTCAACAAGGCTGTTTTTGTTTAATAAAAAATACAGTAAAAACAGTCGATTTTGAAATAATGTTACAATTTTAAATCACTGCTGTTTGTTGAATATATTTTAAATATTGAATTTATTCCTGTGATGGCAAAGCTGAATTTTCAGCAGCTACTCCAGTCTTCAGTGTCACATTATCTTTCAGAAATCATTCTACTATGCTAATTTAGTGCTCAAGAAAGATTTATTATAAATGACAAAAGAAGTTATGCAGCTTAATATTTCTGTGGAAACTGCAATACATTTTTATTTCATGATTCTTTAATGAATCCACAGAACAGCATTTATTTTAAATAGGTTATTTATTTATTTTTAAATCTTACTAACCCCAAACATTAGTGTAGTATGACAGATGGATACATATTCTTTTTATCTATTTGAATGATTTTGGGGATGCTTATTAGACTGTCCTTAAAAAAATTATTTGGTTACCAGACAATAGTGTTTTTGTGTGGAATGTGTGTATAAACTCAAAAGCTTCATATAGGACACAGTATGAAAATCATTGCTTTGGTATAAATGGATAAATTAAGAAACCTAATTTTAAGCTGAAATGAGTTTGAAATGAATAAACATCAGTAGATAAATATCTATAGGCATTATAGATATTTGCATAATATAATATATTTGTTTTGGTCCAGTGTATTTCTGCAGCCGAATATCAGCAATTAAATTTAGTGTTAATGTGTAATTAAATCTAGTGAAATGTTGTATTTTCCATTCTGCCTTTTTGCATTGTTAAACCGCTTGCTTCAGTCAAAAATAGTTTACAGTTTTCCTCTATTCGAAACATGCCATTTGTAGCACCAATACTAACACTGGAAGGTCACAGTAGGGAATGTTTTTGGGACAGACTGCCACCATAGTGCTGTGATCCTGAGTCAGACCGCCAATATTTATAGTATCATCACCCCTGACTGTCACAGATATTTCCAGTGAGTAATGCTTGCTCTGTGGAGAAGGGGCCACTTCTAACCTTAGAGGGATGGTGGCAAATTTAGTAAGCCGCTCTACTTCGAGACACTTTGCAGACGGGTGAAAAAGATTCTTTAGTCATAGCATTGCGCTTCAAAGGCAGTTACTTGTTCCCTTCAGTAGTAAGCTGTTGATGTATTACTCATGGCGCAACTGTCTCTTCATCTGATATGAGTGTGTGTGTCTCTGCAGCATAATCCGAATCAGCAGGAAAGGATGGCACATGCTCCTCAACTTCCTCTTCCACACTGCCATGACGTTTGGGGTGTTTGCAGGAGGCATCAACCAGATCAAGTACCCTGTGATCTGTCAAGTGGTAAGTCTCCCAGTTCTCTACCCTGTTTCTTTGGCCTGAGTGAACCACATTATTCATGCCCTGTGTCTGTGGCTCTCAGCTCAGAGTCACTAGCATATGGCCTCTTTGACTCCCGAATTGGCATGGTCGCCAATTACTAAGGCACAGAGGGCTTTGTTTGGCACGGCTGCCCAGTGTTGAGAGACTAATGCACTGGGGTTCTATGATTGCCATGGCCTTTCAAAGTGTAGCTACTTACTCTTTCGTCACAGACAATTTCCAGCCTGGACCAGTGAGTTAGATTAATTTGATTATGTTTATAGCTGCACGCTTATTAAACATATTTTAGTTAATGACAGCAGTTGATTCACTGTCAGTGAAGCTTTAGAATTAAAAGCATCAGATTTATGATTGGAGGCATAATGAGCATACATTTGAGACGTGGCCTAAACACAGTATATATACACCGGGGCGGTGAAGGTAAAATACTGCATGATATAAATGACTCCTATTCGTCCACATTCACACTAATCAAAAATTAAAAGAAAAATGACGTTTGTTAAAATATATCAAATTATAACATAAAAATATTAGAATTGTGAATATCAATCGATCGAAATATCAGCCTATCAATCTATCTTGTTTGTTTGTTCATTTGTGACAAACTTTGCTTTTGTAGTTAAAATTACATTTATCCACCTTTTTATAGTGAGACTATTGCATTTTAAATTATAGGAGGCACTTTCAGTTTGGGGATGTTCCACTCAAAAAGACTGAAACATATCATTTATAATCATAAGGTTGCACTGCAAATAATCCGTCAGTTTGACTGAACGACCTGTACATTTTGTTTTCAGATGTCAAGAGAATAACATAACTATTGGTATTTTAATGTGTATTACAAGAATTACTATGGTGTATTACAATGGTATAACAAGAATATCTCTGTGAAGAGCTCTTTTCAGTCCGCTGCATTATTTTCTTAATTCGTGAAATCTTCATGTCTCTTTTCAGGTTTGTTTTCACACTGATTCTTTAAAATGTAATTGTCTCCTCTTTTCACTTCTAATCCCTATCAGTTGTGTTTATCGGAATGTTTCTAAAGCAGGTAAATACAATATTTGTTATCTATTAAATTAACAGAAATTTCTTTGAAATATTCTCACTCATATTCTATCATTATTAATGAGCCATTTTGATTAAGGCCACACATTTGACATATAATAGACATGTATAACTATAGTGATATTTAAAATGTGTATGATATTGTTGACTGGAATAATCAAGCTTTTGGGGTTATTCATGATATGTTGAAAGTAATTTGTTAATGCTTTGTACACTTTTAAATTTTCTTTTAATGATCGATGGTTAAAGGGTGTGTAGAATAATGTCACCTCATTGCACCCAGTTTTTAAAAATGCTTATTGCGTTCATAGAGCGAACCTTATGCTGATTGTTTACAGTGTAACGGAAGTTACTCCCATAATTCATGCAAAGCATCAAGGGGCATAGGAAAAATATGGATAAGTATTTCTTCGAATTTCAGTTCATTTTAATTCTACTTTCCTAAAAATACAAATGGCAAATCTGTGTCCTGTTTGCTACAAATTGCTTAAATTAAATTAAGGAATTTAATTGGTGTTTAAAAAGGAATTGTCAATAACATTCTGGAAAATAGGTCAGGTTCAGTACTGTAGCTGTATGTAAAAATGACTGACAGAGGAAGTTTGATTGCAGGAAACTGCAATTAAGTCGCACAATACAAAATGTAGTGTTTCATTGCTGGATGATGTCAAATGAAGGCATGTGCCAGGTGAAGACAGAGAGCAAATGCTGAGAAATATGCCAGCATTTGGCCAACTGAATGGGACAATGTGGTATTTTACCACTGCCATGCATTTGTTCCCCAGGTGTGTAGCCAGAGATGGACAAACAATGTGATGCAGAGGAGCGCTTGTGGCCAAATTATGCCGATTTGACAAGAATTGTCTCCATAGCTGTGCTAATTGTGTGTGTGTGTGTGGCAATGAATGTATTCTATGGATAAATGTAGATGCTTTATTTTGTTGTGCTGTACAGTGCCCTCTCAAAAAAAACAAGCAGGCATGGGCCCATGCCCAAGTGGTGGGCATCAGAGGGAGGGAAACACGAGTCATACCATGACAGATGCAGAAGCTAAATTAGATCTGAATCTGAAAATTTTGTTGAACTTTTGTGATCAAATGTTCTCATTATGTCACAAAATATGTATAATGATTAATGTTAAAAGAAACATTTGCAACTGTAATGAAAGCACACTTTGTTCTTTGTGAGTTTTGAGAATTTTTTTGGTATATACCATATGCATTCCAGTGCTACTTTCTGTGTAAAGAAAAAAAACCCCTGAAATACAAGATACACTACTGTTGAAAGGTTTGGGGTCAGTAGGATTTTTATTTTCAAAGAAATCAATACTTTTATTCAACAAGGATGCATTCAGCTCTTAACTTTTGTGTGGTAGTAGCAATCTGTAATAGTCTTGTACTGCTACTAGGTTTTAGTGTTTTTAGGGTCAGTGTGTTTTGATGAATGTGAACGTTTGCTGTTAGAAAAGATTAAGTTGATTTTTAGACCTGTACAAAGTATTTGGCCCTAACTGCAGTGTCAAGCTGGAAAAGACAACTGTGTATGAGTTTGGGAAAAGTATACTTTATATTATGAACACCTGTCTGGTTTCTGATTATATGGTTTCTCATTATTTTTATGTGACAGTTCGTCCTAACATTTATTTATAGAGTATTTACATTTTCCTAGATATAAACAAACAAAAAAATCATGTTCACTTTTTATACATGTACAGTTTTTGAAAAAGCATGACAGACATTCACAGCACATAATTTACATTCAGTGCCCATATAAACATCATATATATCCTATATGAATGAATGGATGGGTCGGTTGATTGGATGCAGTATGCGCATTGGAACAAAGAGGACAACAGCATGACCTCGCTGTCTGAGGAGGATTACCTCAAACTCCCCCTCAGTGCATCCTTCCTCAAACAGACACACACACACTGCTGCTTTAGTTTTCTGTGCCAGTCTGCTTTCTATGAGTGAGCTTTCAGTGTTTAATGTTTCGTCTTGTTCGTTGACAGGTTGGCATTATCTTGCACTACTCCTCCCTCTCTAGCATGCTATGGCTGCTCTTCACTGCCAGGAATATTTGCAAGGAGGTGTCCAAGGCTCCACCCATACCTCAGGACAGGGACACTCCCAACCAACCACGGCCTAAAGCCACCATCTTCAGGTACACAGCATGAAGACTATGAATTTACTAAAGGTTGAGAATTCTGATTCAATAGTGGTTCTTATTCAATACAGAGTTTATTTTTTATTAAAGAGTTAAAGGCAGGGTAAGCGATTTCTGGTAGCCAATGTTGATATTTGAAATCACCAAAACAAACACGCCCCTACCCCAAAAGGGTCTTGCCCCTATTTTGATAGCTCCGCCCCACATATACGTACACAACCCAGGCAACGATTAGTTCTGTGAAACAAAGCAAAACCAATGTTACACCGTGTTTACATCGGACGTGAGCAGTGCAACAAATCCCCGACAGAAAACTGCTGCCGGGTTCTATTTATGACGTGCTGACACAAATTTCAAATGGTTTTCAACGGTCGTTTGATCGCGTCCAGTGTAGGCAGACTTTAGCTGTTGTAGACACGGTGTTACTCACCTATTGAGAAGAAACAAAGCAACCTCGGCGTCCGATCGCAGGCCTCCGCTCCTTGAGTTCTCTCCAGCGCTGGAAAGCTGATCCGATATTTACACGGGTCCTACTTCTTGCCTTATCCTTCCGCAGACGTTTTCCTCTTTTGTTTTTTATCCACCATCCCTATCTTTCTGTCGCTCTGCTCGGCTAATGTCCGTCCCATGCACTGAAAGCTCTCTCCTCCACATCACGAGTAGACACGCCCCTTACTGCTGATTAGCTACAAGTTTGTTTTGCTATTCGGCCCGAATCAGTTTTCTAAAGTGTTTTTGAAAAATTACATACCCTACCTTTAAGTTAGTAGATACAATATATACACTACCATTCAAAGGTTTGGGGTCAGTAAGATTTTTTTCTTTGTTATTCAAAGTCTTTTATGCTCACCAAGGCTGTATTTATTAATCAAAAGTACAGTAAAACAGGAACATTGTGAAATGTTATAACAATTAAAAATAAGTGTTTTCTATTTTAATGTATAGTTCAGTCATGAAACTCTAGATGGCGCAGGCTGACGGGTTGTTAACGTAACTGATGATCACCTTCCCCAGCTCCACCTGTATAGAATCTGCTATGGGTTATTTTATATGCTATTTGTGCAGCAGCAGTATGTCTTATATACGCACTGCACCATATCGCCATATGCATTGGCAGTAGCAAGTTCCTGTACTTGCTTGCAGCAGCAGCAATAAACAACAAATACAGCAATAACCAACAGCAGCAGCAATTCAGCAGCAGCGTGGCAGATCTATTCCGCCAAGACCAAATACATTAACATTGTCATATCCATCACCATGCTAAAATCTTCTGAGAGTTGTCATGATTGAAAAATATTAAAAAAATTTCTGTGATGGCAATGCTTAATTTTCAGCAGCCGTTACTCTAGCCTTCAGTGTCACATGATCCTTCAGAAATAATTCCAATATGCTCATTTGTTGCTCAGAAATTATTTATCATTGTCATCATTATCAATACTGAACACAGTTCTGCACAATTAAGCAGTGCTGCTTAATATTTTTGTGGAAACCGTAATACATTTTTTTCAGGATTATTTGAATAGAAAATTCAGAAGAAGAACATTTATTTGAAATAGAAATCTTTTGTAACATTATAAATGTCTTTACTGTCACTTTTGATTTCATTCCTAAATAAGAATATACTTTTTTTTTTTTTTATTGACCCCAAACTTTTCACAGTAGTGTAATTTTTTTTCTTTTAATTGGTATGCAATGTATTTGCTGTTTGGGAAAAGATCTCACATCTCTAGACAAAATAAAATTTGTTTTACCCTTATCTTGTCAGGTTTTATCTGGTCAGTGGTGGGATCCCTCTAATTATAGTGGGCGTTACGGCTGCTATTAGCTTGGATAACTATGGTAGCAGAGATGACGCCCCTTAGTAAGTATCATATTTACTGCTAGTGCCCAATTAGATGTCAGCTGTAATATGTTTACTTAGTTTTCAGTAATCCAGTAAAAATCACAGATGTCACTGATTCCGGGAGATGTATCTTAATTAATGCTATAGTAACCATTAGGTCTGTAATTAGATCTAGAGTGGTATCGACACTGTCAGTTTAATCATTGTCTCTCTCTGTGTTGCAGCTGTTGGATGGCCTGGGAGCCCAGTCTTGGGGGCTTTTACGGTCTCACTGCCTTCTTGGTCTTGGTAATGTGCATCTACTTTCTATGGACATTTGTGCAGCTAAAGCGGCACCCGGAGCGCAAGTATGAGCTCAAGGCCATGACCGAAGAACAACAGCGTCTAGCCGTAGCTGAAATCGGCCATTGCCACGCTGTCAGCGGAGAACCAGGTGAGCATGGCGATCACACAGGCTGCACAGCCATCACAGCCTCCATGCTGGCCAACGAACACTCTTTCAAAGCTCAGCTGAGGGCCACCGCCTTTACTCTCTTCCTCTTCCTGGCCACCTGGGTTTTCGGAGCACTGGCTGTATCACAGGGCCATTTTCTAGACATGATCTTCAGCTGCCTATATGGAGCATTTTCAGTCACATTGGGGCTTTTTCTGCTGATTCAGCACTGTGCGAAACGTGACGACGTGTGGCACCGGTGGTGGGCCTGTTGCCCCAACAAACCAAAGGTGGAGGTCAACGGAGAGTCGGCGGGGAGCACCGCTCCCCCTACTCAAAGTCACAGCCATACACCATCCCACGGGCAGAACCAAATCCACTGCCAGGTCGACTCGTCCTGCCCGGGTAAACCTTTGCTTTCCCCACACCTACACTCCCCTTTGCCGCACTGCAAGTTGGGTACTCTGCCCTCCACCCAGAACCACACGAGCACCTGCTGTGCCACCCTTCACAGCCCCTCTTCCTTAATCGGGAGCACGACTCGCCCGCAGTCCCTCCCTGATGAACTGCCCCGGCCAACCCTTCCCCTGCAAAGCTGCCTGAAGGACAGGTCTAAGACTCGTTCTTTCAACCGACCTCGGCCCTGCCTCAGGGACTATTCTTATCACATGACCTCCACCAGCATGGACAGCAGTGTGCACAGCTCCCACCTGGACAGCCCCCACAGCATGCACCTGGACAACCCTCTCACCTGCCACACGTCCCACTTGGACACTCAACTCTCTTGTCACAGCCCCCACCCAGACAACCAGCTGCGCTGCCCCAGTCCCAGTCCTCACCTCGAGAGTTTGGCTTCACACGGCCTTCACGATAGCCTCTCCTGCCATAGCGCACACTTGGACAGTCAGCTCTCCTGCCACAGACACATGTGCTGTGCCAAAGCAGACCCATTCTCGAGCATATGCTGCCATAAAGCTGACCCATTTGTCAGCCCTTGCCAGGCGGAGGATCCTGACACGGGTCCACTGGTGTACAGTTGCACAAAAATGGCCGATAAAGAGGACGAAACCATGCTGCATTTGGATATAACCCCTCCGAAGGCCACTCTGTTGTGCTCCCAGGCCACGCTTAGCAGGAAAGGCACCCTCAGCCGGAGAGGGACACTGAGTCGGAACAGTAGTCAGCATGAGGACTACGTACTTACCTCTGATTCCACAGGTAACATTAGGACTGGACCTTGGAAAAACGAGACAACCGTGTAGGCCTGTGAATGACGTGCTAACCTGTTTCTCTCGCCTGAGCTAAACTACTGTGTAGTCCCAGGGCTGTTACCCAAAGGCCCTCTCTTCTTTGAGCTAAGCTACTGTGTAGTCCCTCTGCTGTGACTTTCCCTCTCTCACCCACCCCATATACCTTCTCTTCCACTTTAAAGAGGTTTGAACCTCTGCTTACCTCTTCTCAGACTTCATCTCATGTCTCATCCCAGCTCCATTCGGTTTGTCCTCTTGCCATTTTGATATGACAGCAAAGATCACATGACATACATTTTAATTTGGATGATTTTTTATAATCAAACTGATTTTTGTACATGTGTTTTTGGGTATGGTAACATAAAGTGAAATTATGTCGTTGTGGATGTGTGTGAGTGTGTGTGTGCATTTAGTAGGTGAGAAAGTACTGAGTGCATGTGTTTGTGTCTATTTGCATGTGACAACATGCTTGTGTGTATATAGATAGCAAGATTTCCATTCGTGCAAGAAAAGTCCTCTGTTTTTTAAGAGCCAAAATCTCCCACATTTGTGTTTAGCCTTTTAATAAAAAAAAACGCTAAATGGATCGCCAAGTGTGAAAACACCAGCACTTAATTAGATTTTTACTTTGAAGGAAAACTGTGAATTGCCACTAATGAAATTAAGATTAGTCAATGAACAAATATGTGAGTTACAGTATATGTGCCAAACGGTATAATAATTAAAATACAACTCTTAAAACTGAGATCTACCACAAAGTACGAAGTAGTTTGTGATTATGTGGATAATGGTGTGTGGTTGTCACAACAAAGCTGTCATTTTTTTCATCTACATACATAAAAACAGCAAACAAATAGGCTCCCTGTGTTTCCATGGTGACAAATCATGAAGAGAGTCAGAATGCATTTTGAACTGCACATGTGATGTATGCACATACAGTATTTAGTTACTGGCAATGAGGCGCAGATCAGTTCAAGTCAATGGCCTTACAGAACGTATCAGTTTTGCATTGATCAAAAGTCTTATGTTGCACTAAAGCATTAAAGCATGCTCACCATAATGTAGGAAGCAATCATTTACATGCCTAACGAGCTACATATAGCTACATATATTCATGTGATTCACAGGAACATGTCTTAGCTTACTGGAAACACTCATGGTTATTTATTCTGAGGCAAAAAAAAAAAAAAATGGAGGGCTTCACTTTCGACATTAGCAGATTCTCATTAACAGTTTATATCACTGTGCTAACTCACCTTGCTCACAAAAATTGTCTGATTTAACATAATGGAGTCTGTCAAACAAGCAGTGAGTAAATGAAGACAAAAAGGAAAAAAAAAAGTGTCTCTGCCAACTCATATTGTAAATAATTATCAGGCACATTGATTCAAAACAAGTAAATCAAGAATAAGATGGAATCTGAACACTAAATTACATAGCAAGTTCAATGAAACATGAGGGCAAACGACCAGAATTTTGATTCGAGAAATGGATCAAATTTACATAACATTCTTGCTTTCATTGAACTTAATATGTGATTTATTTATTAAATTCTATTTATTCTTCGTTTAATTGTTTTGAATCAGCACACCCGATTTACAATATATAAATTGGCGCAATGCAACTGTCTTTTTTTAAACAATATATGATTTGGTGTGCATATTCTATTTTATTCCTAATTTAAATGGAGATAAACACATGATCACACATGAAATCTGCCAATTGCTACATGTATCTATTTTAATTTTTAAGGGGTAATATAATTTTTTGAGTACCATGTGATCGTATTTATCTTGTTTTGTTCTTAATAATATGTGCCATTATTTAATCAGAATGCCAACCGAAGAGTAATGTGAAACATTTGGAAGATTCCTTGTTTATGTTGGGTTTCTTTGTGAGCTCAGGGATCATGTTGCATTTACAACTACACAAGATATAAATTTGCATGAAATTAATATTGGTTACTGACCCCAGAGTGTCACCATCAAATAAAAAAAATATATGTATAAAAATATATTTTTAACTCCAATTGCCCTTCACCAGCCAACCCATGCTTTCTTCAGATGTGTAGCACATGGATACTATTAAGCCCTCTCTTGAATCTATGGAGGAAATGAAATTTGTCTAGCAGCCTGATTTACCATGTGTTGTGCTTTATCTTTACCCACACGACCCACCTGTCATTTATAGCAAATTCAAGAACTGCAGTCATTTTTTTGGTCAGTACATGTGATTTGTGCTCTGACCTGACCCAAAGCCAGTATTTTTATTTTTTTATTTTTTTTACATTTGTCACAATTTTCAATAAATGTATTTTATCACCTGATGCTGTGGTCCTGTTCTCTTGCTCTCTTTTTTTTTTAGATGCTTCAAAGTAGTGAGCGAAAATGCAATGCATAATGCCCAAAGTTGCCTGAGTGCTTCCCTAACTAGATCTATTTCTCATTCCGTCCATTCGCAATGTTGTGTGAAGGCCAGTGCGCTTTGTCAAAATCATCCCTGAATTCGGCAGGAAGAAAAGGCATCGCCTTCGCCTCGAGTCGGGCGTGTGCTTATCGTGCCTGCGTCTCAGCTCTTGCTGACAGTCTTCAGAGCTTCAGGGCCTGGACGATTGTTTATTCATCAGTCCTCCCAGTTCTGCAGCTGATCCCTGCTCACGCATTCTGTTGTCAAGGACTCTGACATCATCTCGGAACTGTAGGAGACCAAGAGATGATGAAGAACTGCCAGCATGTCCTTACTCAACCTGTATAGGAGTTTTTAGCCTCCCAACTAAACAGCTGTGAGAGGTTACCACTGGTACACGCTTGGAAACTTTTCAATGTTTTATAGCTACTGAACATTTGCTGCAACACTTAGTTGCCCACAAGGTTTCTTGAGGTTGTGACTAGTAGACTTCTCGAAACAGAGAGAAAAAAACATTTATGTTTAATTGAAGAGGCCTTAAGTCTACTTAGAAACGTGTATGAATTCAAACCAAGAAGAAAAGGAGAAGAATTAAGGGGCAAACGTAGGTCATTCGTTAAAGTGGAAGACAAACAGCAAAATGCATTCAAGCTAAACAATGAATTCACACAGCTAAACGGGATTTAAGCAATGTCGCGTTCACTGAGTAACCCATCGGGTGTTGTTAAAATGATACTAGACGAGCGCCTTTGCGCTTCCAATTGCGTCAGAACTGCAGGGACGCTACTCCTCACTTCCACCTGCTGGTGGATTTCAACACTCAGTTTACAGGCTTGACAGGTTCAGATCAGGTAGTTTTTGCGTCAGCTGATGGGTTTGATCAGCCTGCATTACTAAAACTTTGGAAGGGTTAATCTTGTTAACGAAAGTACTTTGTTTCGATAACAAGGATGAAATATGTGCATTGTGCCGATAATTAATACATGCTGTTGTGGAACAAGGAAGTTAACCTGAAAACTGAAGTGCATTGTTAATTAAAGGGATAGTTCACCCAAAAATGAAGATTACCCCATGATTTACTTACCCTCAAGCCATCCTAGGTGTATATAACTTTCTTCTTTCAGACGAATACAATCAAAGTTATATAAAAAAATATCCTGGCTCTTTCAAGCTTTATAATGGCAGTGAATAGTGGTCGAGATTTTGAAGCAAAATCAAAAAGTGCATAAATCCATCATAAAAAGGGGTGGGGGGTAATAAAGGCCTTCTGATGACGCAGGATGTAGACGTAGCATAAGCTCCAGTGAGAATATACGAGTCTCTCGAGAACAAAGTTTTGTTTCAAGCAAAGGAAAACCAGTCTCCTCTTGGGTTATATTGAAACCCTCCAACATTTTTCTTTACAAATCCTTGTTTTGTACTTCTAATTATGACTGGTGTTTTTGCTCTCTCCACTGTGCTTCTGCGTTTGTCACTTCTCACTGGAGAAGTGAGACTACGGGCAACGTCATCTGCTGATGCCACTCTCTCGTGACAGTTAGCAGAAGCTATCCACCTTTTTCTTCAACGCGGAAGTAAGCCTATGGGTGAGACTTCCGGTTCATTGGCCGCTATAGGGAAATAACGAGAAGAATAACAACGTGCAGTAAACAGTAAAACTGTTTGCACTACAACCCAGTGTGTTCATAATTCAGATAATACATTAAAATAATATGGTAAGACAAACCCATTTTCAATATCAAGCAAAAGGAGCGGTTCTGTACAGATAAAAATAGCTGGACGCGGATGAGACCGGAAGCTAGACCCATAGAATTTACAAATGGCCGCACCCATTTTTAAAAGGTGGATATAGAGATTACTGTTTATGAAGTTTTAAATATGGAATATTTTTCTTACACAAACGCATTGATTCACTTCAGAAGGCCTTTTTTTAATCCCCAGAGCCATGTGGAGCACTTTTTTATGATAGATATATGCACTTTATTTTGCTTCAAAATCTTGACCACTATTCACTGCCATTTATAAAGCCTGGAAGAGCCAGGCCTTTTTTAAACTCCAATTGTATTCATCTGAAAGAAGAAAGTCATATACACCTAGGATGGCTTGAGGGTGAGTAAATCATGGGGTAATTTACATTTTTGAGTGAACTAACCCTTTAACTCACCCAAAAGACCTGATGAAAACTTAAATCGAGTTTGCTCAGCAGTGGGCGGGACTAAAGCGCAAACTCAAATCCCATTGGCTTTTGCTGCCTCAGTAGAGCAGCCAACATACTGAAAGACCCATCCCACCCAGGACATCAGCAGTTTGACCGGTTTGTGCTACCCTGTCAGATTTTGCTACCTCCCATTAAAACAGATGGTAGCATAATTCGATAGCGAAAAGTGTTACCTATCAGATTTTGCTTCCAGCATATTAATAAAGTGTGAGGCTTTATTAACATGTACACCTACACCTACCCCAACCCTAAACCTACCCTTACAGTAGGATAAATACAGTGTTGGTAGCATAATCTAATAGGTAGCATTATTTGTCAGAACACCGGCTGCCCTCTGGTAGACGTTTCAGGTCTATCACATCACGGACAAACAGACTCAAAAACAGTTTCTACTCCAGAGCCATTCGTGAACTGAACACTGCCAAACAATATGACTCTTGGTCTCTCTTGACCACAATACCACAGAACATTGCATAGATGCAATAGTATTTTCAACTGTCCCTCGTTTGTTTACATTTCAACTGCACTATTGCACTACTCGTTTACATTTCCACTGCACTACTTGTACATAGGGTCACCGTAATCCAGAGATGTGCAACATCCGGATGTGTAATACCTCACCTCAGCTGCTATGCCATTGTATCATATTGTATAATTTCATCACATTGTCCTATTGTTGTATATATTTATTTTTATTTGATTCTGCACTTTAAATTAATACTGTTCCAATTCCTTTTGATGTTATGTGTGAATAACTCATATATATATATATATATATATATATATAATATCTGCCTGTTGGAAAACGTGACCAAAAATATTAGTCTTGAATAGATTGACTGTTTTATGTTAATGTTAATAAATATAAATAAACATTTTACATGTAAGTAGCTTTTAGTGGGTTCTAATCTCAGACTTAGTATTGTTTAGTCTTTCCCCCCCCACAAAAACACTGAATGACTTCAAGCTCCACCACCTCATTCTGTAAGTTCTGTTTAATGTCCAAAATATGCATTTTCATGTGTGACATGGTTGCAACGTTCTAGTTACTTTTTAAAGTTCTATTATAAAGTGCTTTATTAATTAATGTTTTAGGCGATCAGTCATTGTGCTTTCAAATCTTTTTTCTTCTGTTATTTCATTGTTGCACTTTCTCGTCAGCAAAAAATGTTTCTTTAGTCAAATAAATTAGATGTAATTTTAGTTAAATTGACATTTTAGGCTATATAAAATGTTGACTATTTAAATTGTTTTGCTAAAGA